ACATTCTAAATGATAATATGAATAGTAGTTTCAAAATAAACAATATTTCTTTAAATTGATCATTCGTTACTTCATAAAGGAAATATCAATCTTCACAAAAAATATTAATTAATAATTTTAAATTTAAATACACAATGCATAAATATTAATAACTAATATCCTGAATGATAATATGAATAGTAGTTTCAAAGTATTAAAATAAACAATATTTCTTTAAATTGATTATTCATTACTTTACGACAAAAATATCACTCTGGATGATAATATGAATAGTGGTCACTCGTTTTCGACATCCTTAGTTTCGAGCATAATGCACAATAATGTTAACTTTATATTCGAGAGAAATCTTTGTGCTTTTTTCGAACAAAATCAAGATTGTGAACGATACAACGGATCTCTAATCGTAAACGGAAAGAACAAATTGAGAGAGCTTGTGTAATTAACTTTCGACTTCTAATTTTGATCAAGCTGACTGTGGCGCGCGGATTACATGGCTCGCTAATTTTGCAGCAACGTGCATCGCGCGCATGACACGAACTCTCAGACTAATTTCGAATTACGAGGGGGAAGCATGCATCGTTGGGGATAGCCGAGTCATAACTAGGAAAATACGAGCACGATGCTTCGTGACTTTTATTTAACTGTTTTCACGAGACGACTACATCTGTTAGAAATCTTACGGTGTCGTTTACAGTAAATAAAATTATTGACAAGCGCTTTCGTTAATGACGAATGAAACGATGCATTCTTTAATAAAATTTAAATTAATTTAATTAAATTTAAATTTAAAAAATAAAATTTTAATTAAATTTAAAAATTTAATTAAAGATCAGTCTATAGATGAAATTATTTAGATTAAAAAATTATGAGAACTTCGAATCGTTATAACTGCAAAGATATCATAAAATATTATTATTATTTATTTTTTATATTCGAGATGATAAATTTTTCTCATCAAGTCATCGATTATATCTATAAAGTTTGACTTTCATAAAACAAGTACTTCCAACGATCCTATTCTACTTTATGTGTATATTACTAAAGTGTAATTTCACTTCCTTGTTCGAAATAAAGAAGTTTAATATTGACTGAAATAATATACGTGAACAGATATCATAAAATTTAATAAAACATCATCGAAAGAGTGAATTCATGTGTTCGACAGATATTGAAAGAGTCTTTTAATTATCTTTAATTAAATAATATCTTTCACGATTTAACCTGATGATTCAAGGATAAGAAAAGGAGGACGTTTCACTTGTTGCTGCATCTTTGGAACACTTTTTCCTAGCATTTATACAAGGAGAATGTTAATATCCCACATGATTCTAGTCGTAAAACGGAAGCAGCATCTGTATCTGCCCTTATTGTGCAAATGTGCAATTTTAATTATTTCACTGCTCGCGCTTCTCTATGGGACCGTGGGATCGTTTTACTGTTCGCAATTTCATGCAAAATAGCTATATTTCTTTTTTCTTGTTTTTTTTTTTGGTTCTGTTTTATATTTTTCCAAAATGAATTTCAGAATTTATAACTTTATTTTGTGCTTTTGTGATATCGCTTTGCTTTTAAATAAAAATACAAACATTGGCTTCGACAATATCGAAAACTGTTTTAAAAAAAAGAGTATATCTTCGAGATATCTCGATAATTTAATTTTATTTTGCTTTTGTAAAAACGATTTCTAAAAACGAAGAATAGTATACTATTTTACAACAATTATTCTGTTAATTCTCTCAAGAAGAAAAAAAATATCTTTCGTACAATATTCATCAATTCACAGTATGTAAATGTATTTCACAGCAATCTTAATATAATATCGAAATTTCAAAGATAATTCTAGTTTAAGCAATAAGAAAAGAAAACAACATTTTCAATAATAACATCAAAACTGTGCATCATTTTCAGCATATGCATTTATGCAAAATCATTCTCCTCTGAGTCATATCAATTTTGCATCATCTTATAAGATATTGCACACACCATATTCTTCGCCATTTATATCAAATCACCCAACATATTCAGCAATAAACTCACCGTCCACGAAACTACCATCAGACACTCACCTCGAAGTCATCTCGTCCCACCTTTTCATTCTCGAGGCAAGTATCGAGGCGAGAATTTTCACTATAAGCCTTAAAAGAGGGAAGTATCGAAGCTAGATAGAGGTTAGAGCTTGCGACGCTACACATTGAAGAAAGCTGAATTTATTAATGCAATTTCGCTAAGATTCTCGCAACTATTCTCCATTATTCTTCGATTTCAGATTCCTGGCCAAGCGTTTTCATACAAGTTCACAAGCGAGCATCGATATAATGAAGAAAATTCGAACAATACTACGAAACTGTTGTGACGAATAGTGATGGGTTCGAATATCTCGCGAATGGGTTTGGAAAATTATGACTTACAAAATTCCTTGTATGTATTTCAAGAGAAAGAAGAAATTTATTAAAAAAGGAAAAAGATAATTTCAAATTTTTCTTAGCTATTTTTAAAAATATTTATTATTCGTGTATGACTAATTCATTTAACTTACATACATTTTCACATTTTTAATGAGACTACATAAACAATAAAATTATAAATTGCATTTCTAGATCTTTCTGATTCTCATAATTATTAAGTAACTTTATATTTGAATCATTCTAATTTCGATTAATTCTATTTTCTAAAAAAATAGTTCTTCCCTCGATACTTTAACTTCACAGTTTATCGATTAATTCAACATTGATTCGATCCCATCGCTGTATCGAAAAGGAGTCAAGAGTGAAAGAGATCGGCAAATCGTGGACATCGAGATTCGAAGTGTCGTAAAACGATTCGAGGCTTGTTCGATCGCCACATCGATTAGAGACTTTATGATGCACGATGAAACGGAAGACGATGAGATATCTTTATCGCCCAACGACGTTTTTGGGATTGGAGGAGCGTGGAAGTGGGTTTCTAACGACTTCTATCAGCATTCCTTTACGCGCCAGTGACACGAATATCGCGCGCGGGAAAACGAAGAGTGCATTTTACCGTAGAAACCTGGAAATTGGCTTCCTCTGTTGAAACATTATTAAGAAACGTTACGTGGCGGAGGTATTCACAAATAGGAGTTTTTGTTATGGCCAGAGAAAATTCCGAGAGAATTGGATTCGAGATCAGAACGGAATGACTTGAGAAGATCAACTTGGAACGATATCTTTTCTAGTTTTATAAAAATAAGTTTGTGTTTATCTGAGATAATTGTTTTATCAAAATTGCGTTTCTTAATGAATTCATTATGTATAAATATGTGTATAAGTACTATGAGTGTGTAGAGTGTAATGGATTATAGTCATTTACTTTCTTAGTGGAATGTCACTTTGAAGAGGAAAATTGATATTATTTGTATTTTAGTTTCTTTATTAATACATATGATTTAAAAAAGTGATGTAATATTAAACTTATTTCGCAAAGAATCTTTTTAAGAAAGGAGAGAAATTTTGAAAACATTGAAAAATAAAAAATTGAAAATCAAAATGAAATAAAATAATATAATATTTTAATAAAGATATTTAAAAAAAATATTTTTCTATATATTTTTCCAGTCTTATTATTATATTTAATCACAGTTGAACATAGATAGAATAATAGAATAATTCGATTAATTTAAAATAATGTGAAATTTACATTACAATTCTATTTTCTATTGAACTCGTTGAATTCTATCATCACGATTCTCGGTTTTCTAATTAATATAGAAAATTCAGAATATTGAAAATGTTTTATGCATGAAATTTAATGTTTTTAACTGGAATTTTCGATGGATCAAATATTTAAAATGAAAATAATGTGCATGCGAACGATATGAATGTAGCTTGCATCAACGTTGAAATGTGTTAATACTTCAAATTGACATATATTCTATTACGGTGTCAAAATCAGCGTAGAATGGAAAATGGATTTTCGATAATCCATTGCTGTTAGAACTAGTTGGTACGAGTTCGATTTGCGATCCATCGTTGCTGTTAGAACTAGTTGATTTGCAATTTATAATAGAATGTTATTAGAAAATGCTACGAAGAACTTACGAACAATTGATTTTCAACAATGTAGAATTTAAAAAACTATAACGAGAATGATATTTTAAAAATAACTAATGGTTTATTATTCTTATTGATTTTTAGAATTCAAAATTGCAAAAATTTTTTTTAAAAATTATTATTTTTATTAATGTATTATTAAAAAATTGATAATTAGAAATTTTATTTCTATATCCATATCTAATAATATTATTGAATATAATTATTTGTAAAATAGTAATAACATAAAAGAATTTTTCTAAAATAATATTAATATTATTTTAATTTTATACGTGTTTACAAACATATATATTTTGTTATATGACATTGTCTTTAATATATTCCTTTCTCTATATATTGTTTGATTTAATACTGAGTTGAGCTACTTGTAGGTGCTGATAGTTATTGACTTATATTCCTTGCTTGTGAGCTAAGTTTAATAGTTGTCTAAGATATGATGTCTGTTCTACTTACTGTTGAATATTGAAGTAAATTATTATTACTTGAAGATAAATTTACATTAAATTCGAAGATATTTCGAATAACCTGTATTTCGTTGTTTCATTAAAATTTAAGGTAGTGGAAGATTGAAAATATCTATATAATTTCTATGGATATTTAATAAGACTTTCTTATTACTTCAAAACATTAAGGCAATGAATTCAAATTTCAAGATTATCATTATTGCGATAATTTTCATTTTACTAATAATATTATTAAAAGATTTCGCGAAAGAACGAAGAAACTTTAATGTTGAACAAAAATTTGTATTGTATTTTTAATAATTTGTGTTATTTTTAAGAATATGTATAACAATTTACATATATTTACGAATACAATGTGTTTTAAAAGAAAAGAAAAATTTTTTTATTGTAATTGCTAATTTTTTATTCTATAAAGAAATGACTACGTGTTTAATATATATATACGTGTTTAATATATGTATATAAAGTATATATAAGTTATATATTCATGATTTCTTCAGCTTGTTTAAACAGAAAATTCATGTCTCGAAATCTAGAATATTTATTCAGAAATAAAGTTTCAGTGTAAGAACTGATAAGATTTTCATTTTCTTTCATGATAAAAAATCAGCATATTTTACTATTTTCAAAAATTTCGAAACTAAATTTGACTAATTGAGAAAAAAGAAAGGATCTAAGATTGTTATTTTTTTTTTCTCTTACATATTGTTCGATGAAAGAATGATATAAGAAGAATGTTATGAAAAGAGAAATTAATACTAATTAAATAACAATAAAAATGTTTGAAATTATTGAAAATATCATTAAATTATTTAAAAAGAAGAAATATATTCATATTCAATAATCACATAATTATTATACTGAAATGAAACTAACAGTCATATCCCTATTCTTTCAAATGAAATTTTATGTATTATGACCAACAAACCGTTTGCACATCATTTTACATTCGTTACAACATTTATACACTACTCAATTAAATCCAAGTACATTAAATTTTCCATTATTTATCATCGATTACTAAAATTCAATACTTTGAACCGTTTTATCCAAAGATATATAATTATATATGCAAATTTCTTATAATATTTTTATATCAAGGATTTAAAAAAAAAAAATCCAGATGTACTCACCGATCAGGTACCATTCTCCATTCGTGATAAAGTCGGACAGGTCACCGCCCGTCTCCGAGCTGAGCACGAGGTCGACCTAACAACGTCAAAGTTCGATTAACAGAGGCAAACATCTATGGCCGTGGCATTTCTGCTAGGTCACACACAGCGAAGCGGGCATACATGCACGTGCGACAGCTTTATGTCACTTTTCGCTTTCTACACCTACTACCACCATTACTTTTGCAGCGGCTATGGGCAGCGGAATAACATGGCGCGCGGTGTTGGTATTCGATAAATAAATCGTGCGAGGAGGAGGTTCAAGGAACGATGGCGTGTCGATAAAGGAGTGTTTCATGTCTGTATAAAAAAAAAAAAAAATAGATAAAATCCGTGGCCATCGACAGACTTAGCCTCTGAATTCTTCCTCAATCAGGAATGAGAGAAACGTTTTCTCCGCCGATGTTTAAACGTACGCTTGAGAGTAAAATCGTTGCTCTCGAAAGTATTTCTTTACAAGTGAACACGTAAATTCTTTTTAAGATAAATTTCTTATGATCCATCTGAAGGTAACGATTTTTCGAAAGTTGCTCTTGCTTGGATTTCAGAGTATCGTCGAAGGAAAATTCTGAAAAATGATAGTTTATTCTACTGACGTTTCAAGAACCACTTAATTAATTATTTTAATCTATTCTCTTCTATTTTTGTCTCTGGTAATTTTGCTTCTTTATGTTTATCGAACGGATATAGAATGCTAAATTAAAGGAAATTCACTTTTATTCTCATTCATTTCGTTTTTCTTTCATGAAATTTTGTGGCGTTTTGGAGATTTCGATTGATTGTATATATACAGGATTGATATATTTAGGTTTGGAAAATTACGTTTCACAGATATGATATATTGATTGTTGTATTGGTTCATCATCATCCCTTGTGGAAGCTGCTACTGACGAAACTTCGAAATTTTCTCTTTGAAGGAAACACGAGTGGTACACGAAATATAGAAATTTTATCTTGATTTGTACTTTGATTCGTCTTTTATTGTGTATTTTTGTAAATAAATTATAAGAAGATAAGAATTAACAATTGCTAATAAAATTATTAATAATTAGTAAGAAATAACATTATTTATTTTTTTAAATAATTCAAAGCAATACGTAACTCCAGTTATATAGAATGTTTCAGTTTTTCCTGGTTAAATTTCAATATAAATATTAATATAAAATATTAAATATAAAATATTAAATATAAAATATTAAAATATAAAATATTGTATGGAAAGTATGTAATTTAAAAATAAAATTCGCACTTACAATGCAAAATACAAAACAAGAATAGGTTTACAATGTATTAAAAAATTAAAAAATTTAATAATACGATAAATTTAATAACTTTTTGTAATAAAACATTACAAATTTTTTAAACTTAATCTTTTTGAAAATAATATCTTTATCGAAATCTTTTTATTGTTAATTTTGTTTGCCTTATTTTAATCCATAGAATCTCTTTAACATTTAATATTCTAAACAAAATAATATTATAATTGAATAATTCGCAGTAATTATTTTGATAAAAATTTATTCTTATTAAATATTTTGAATACACTTAGTATGTTAAATTTTTAAAAAATGCATGGAAAATACGAATTTAAATAAATTTCCATAATCTTTCCTTTTTTCGACATTTTAAAACATTTTTCTTGATTTTCATTTACACTCAAAGAATATACTTTGACAAAATTTTCCTGGAAAAAAACACCTTATCCTACAAAGTTTCGCTACCTTTTTTCTTTCAAGAATATTCACCGATATCCTTTCTTCCTTTCATTCTACATATATAAAAAAAAAAAAAAAAAA